GAAGCATCGTGAAGCATCGTGAAGTTACTTCAGTGACGCTGAGACCATGAAAGAGGCACTTAAGTGACTTAAGTGCACCAGGCCACGCTCGGGCCGACGAGCCGGTGCTGGAGGAGGCATGAGCGTGGGGAGCATGGAACAAGAAACGAAGTCTCCGAGAGATTGCGCCGGTGCAGACGATCAGAGGGAAGCAGCTCAGACCCTCAAGTGTGGAGCGAACATGTCCAGAGCAACGAAATTCAGTGGAAAGCAGGCGGTCACGGAAGAGACCGAAGCGGACGCACATCCTCCAGAGTTCCGGGAACTTGATGAGGAGGAGGAGGCTGTGATTGCACTTTTCTATCGTCACGTCTCAGTTTTTGCTGCCAAGCGCTGGTCTTCTCGGATGGCGTCCCAAGTCCCGGACGACCCGACATGCAATAAACTCACGAGACGTTGCACAATTTTTGCAGAAATTTACCCCGAAGCTGCGGAGCCTTGTTTCAGACCATCTCGAGGCCCCAGCACGGCCATCTCCAGGGTACTTTGCTTCCGTGCATTGCACTCAGAGGGGTGGAGAGGAGAGGATATCCAAGGTCCCAGGTCCCAGATCCTTTCGTAGCCCTGCAATCACTCTGCCAGGTACGAGGCGATAGCGCCCTGGATATTGGGTGAGGCAGATGAGACAGAGCTGTAGCAGCTCGTGCACGTCTGCTCCCTTTCAGGTCCTTCCCGTGTATATACACCACCCCCTCTGGCGTCCCCACACCTGCTGCCTCCCTGAGACAGAGCCTGGAGGAAGGCAAGCCACAACATCAGTGGATTGCCAGGTTCCTCCCAAAGACATCAAGGCGCGCGCAGAACCACTGCGCTGCAAAGACCCTGCAAAGACGGTCTGCCACTGTGCCCTCGGCTTTTGCGTCCCCCGTGCAAGTTTCCACATGTGCCGCATTGTGCCGGCCCATCGCAATCTCGACACCTGCAAGTGCAAGTCAGAGCAAACGGCGGGAGCAAGGGCACCAAAGAGTGCCAAAAGGCTCCCAACATAGTGCCCCATCTGTGCCCTGCGGACCGCGCTGCGATCAGAGGCGCGAGAGGAAGAAGAAGAGAGACATACTGAGGAAGGAACGAACGGCTCAAGCCGTCACTTTGGAGCTGAGATCCAATGTCGTAAGTTGCCTTTGCATGGTGTTAGCAAGGGCAGGACTCACCACACACTGCTGTAGCTTAAGCCACGCTTCTTCTGGGGATGACCGGCGTTGCAAGTTGACAAGCAGTTTTGGGCAATGATGGGGACGGTGGAGGAGTCCGAAGCCTTGATAGAAACTCCCCCGAAATAGAAGCTCTTTTCGTCATGTCAGGCCATGGGCCTCTCCTACTCTCTGGCACCACGGCAAGGGCCTTGAAATGCCTTGAACCATGTGCTGCCATATGTTGCTTTTCGCCAACTGGACAATCTTCGTCGGACTGTGGACTTGCTTACAATGGCAGGTGGCAGCCATGGGAGTGGCCCAAGGCCTTTGCCACGTCGCCCCTCGGCTTCAAGTGCAACTAAGTGCAAGGGCCCCCGGAACCGCCTCTGACACGCCTCTGAGCATGAGCTGCCTCAGGCCGCAGCTGCGGCCGCGGGCCTACCTGCTGCTCAGAGCCCTGTGGGCCCTGGTGTTCTTGCCGTCTTGGCCTGTTTAATCCTGTTTACTACTTACAGTTACTCAAAAGACATGCTTCAGACTACCACAACCCGTAGCCTTTTGCCCATGACACAACGCAATCTCAACAGGGGCCACCTGGTGGCGCTGGTCATCCAGAGGGTCATCCTGGTGTGCCTGGCGCAAGATTCCAATGTGTGGAGCCATGCGTTAGCCTACGGCTGCCAACTGACTTGGTTTGCATGGCTTTATTGAGCTGATCGGCATTGGATCTCTGTGTTGAGATACCCCAATTGCATAAACACATCACAATATAGTAACAGAAAGTAGTACAACATTCTAAACTAGCAATATGACAATGTATCCATATAACACAATTGCAACACATTATCATGTGAATTATGAACATAGTAATGCATCAATAGAACACTACCCACTCCCCACGCGTCTCCATTGGACAGGAAGGCGAGAGCTGGGTCTTTTTCAGCAAAGTGCCGCGATCACAGAAGGGGATCACAGAAAAGAGGGGGAGGTCTGATGCTATAGATATATTAAGGGCGTTTTCGGGTGCCTTTGGATTGTCTTTCTGACGTACCTTTGCACGAAAGCCGACAAAGCATGACACCGGAGCAGTGCCTCGGGAGGGTTTCTTCCATGACCCGCTGCGCCTCTTTGGTCAAGCTTGGCTCTCACAAGACATGGCCATGGAATTCATGGAATGGCAGTGTGGCAATGTGTATTACTCGGCAAACCTTTCTTCAACTGATGCCGAGCATCTCCTGAGCCTTGTGCCCAGACAAAAAGGCAGACTGCCGTATTGAGCAGGCTGAACAACACAGTCGCCCTGAAGAACTGCCGTTTAGCAGTCGGGTAGTGACCACGCAGATTATTTCACAAGGGGGTGGGGTGGGGAGGTTGGCGGTATAAAACAAGTACGAGAAGCGCCATGGCTTGAAACCGTGGACGTCGTTCTGTGAACCTCTCGGCGTGAAGCCAAAGGACTTCTGCGCTGGTTTGCTACTCTGCTCTCCGGTACTTTGCGTCAGCTAGGTTGAGACCGGTGGAGTAGGCTTTGGATGCCAAATGGTCCTTGCTCAACGTCGAATTATTAATTGGGTTTTGCACGCGTGTCGAGAGCCTTGGTGCCTTGCCGGTCCACTCCTGCGAGCTACGATCAAGCTTCCAGCTACTAGTGCAATCTCCAGGTCGCCCGCACAACTGTTCTGGACTCGTTAAAATAATCAAATCGTTGCGATTCTCCAAAACTAGTCACGTCAGTGCAACAGGGGTGCCGGGGGTTGGAAACGGGTTCCTCGAGTCATCTTTCTGACTGTGTTGGCAGTTGGTGGCTGAGAAGTATCGGCGGTTCTTAGACGCTTGGAATGCGGAGAATCTGAGCACAAGTGGTGCTCAGCTGTGGGTCGCGGCGAAGTGAATTCTCCTGGTCTGGACGAGGCCGATATGTCGGCTGGGCTTTATCTGATAAGGATCAACGCTGTTGCAAGCGCAGCTGCGCACGCCACCGTGTGACAATGTGCCCGTGCGCCACCCCATCCTAGAAGCTTAGGTATCTTGCGACTTTTCAGAGTTTGTAGTCTGTAGCTGTGCCCTCTCCACTTTCTGTTGCCGGCAGCTCAATCTCTCTGCGGTCGACAAGAATCACGCACGGTTGGCCATGCCTTGACTCTCCGCAGGACGAACTATGAGGGCGCGTATCGCCGCCCTTTTCCGGGGGCCCTTCGGCCGATACCCTGCAAAGCACATGCAAGGCATGGTGGTGGTGGTGAGACTGACGGGTCAAATGATCAGCTCAGGTCACCAGGCATGAAGACCCAGCAGTCCGCGAAATGGGGACGCCCATCCGAGAATTAGCTTGCCTGGGCATTGTCAGGAAAGCCTGTGGTTGCCAAAAAAGATGCAGGGATGCACGGCTTGGTGACTTGGTGTTCCACTATCAAAGGCTGACCCGCTGCTACGTAAGGTGGAGTCCCCGATATGCTGGACCCTCGAATGCCGACCGAGAGCCCGCTCAGATGCTGGGAGCAAATGTTGGCCATGTTCAACCCTTTGGATACGCCATGCGAGGCTTTAGGCGTTGATGCCGATGCACTGCGATGCAATGAAAGCTGTTGCTGCTGGCACCTTTGTGTTTAAAGACCTTAACTGTAAGAATGGGGAATCTCGAAGATGTCCTTCGGCTTTCAGGATTCAAGCTGGCCGTTTTATCGAAAACGCTGACTGCGGAGATCATCCTCGGCATTATGCGTCCTGGCCACACAGCGGCGGGGCTTAGGTTTTTGTTGGCATGCTTTCAACACAAAGGCAGGAGAGCACTGGGCTACGCAGCATGTTGGGATGTTGGGATGTTTTTTTTTTTCTTTTTAAATCGCTCTGTGTGGCAGTTGGGTGGCTCCAGCCAGCGCATGGCCGCCGTTCCCCTAGGGCCAAACTTAGCTTGACTGGTAGGGGTTCTTCGAGATGGCTGAGGGTTCGAAAAGTGCGAATACCTTGCCTAAGATTGCAGATCTGCCAGTATCCGTCGCAGTATGCGTGGGAGACACAGATGTCACAACACGTGTCAAGTACATGGAGACGCAGATGCGCTGGTGTGGCACAGGCGTTCTTCCAAAACAGCAAACGAAGCGCCTTGTTGAAGAGCTGCTCCCCACGTGGTGTGTGATGGAGTTTGGAAGCTTGCGCCCTAAAGGCTTCACGAGGTAATTCTACGAATCGAAAAGCGGGGTCGCTGCATGTCTACAGCAAGCGTGTCATTTCAAGTCCGGCTATGCCACGGGCTTCTTGTTCGTGCCCAGACCGTTTATCAGACAGGCACCCAAGTCGCTACCGATATGATCGGAGCGCAGTGGTTCGAAAACCCCAGGAATTTTTCAATTTGTCAGAATATGATTCTGAGATAGCCCCACGTAGTGCAGCCATCACGCCCCTACGAGCCCCTAGAAAACGCTAGGAATTTCTCAGAATATGATTCTGAGATGGTGCAGCCATCTCCCCCCCAAAGCCCCTAGAAAATCCTACGAATTTCTGAGATAGTGTGCATATGTGTATGTATATATCTATATGTATATATGTGTATATTATATGTACGATTTCTCAAGGTTTCTAAGGGCATCGATTTCTGGGCAGAAAGCTATGGCCCCTGCAGTCATCGCAACCCGTGACAGAAGTGCCACAGTAGTTTGTACTTATCTCAACTCACGCGCTCTTGATAGAAATCGTCAGATGCCAGAAGCTTGTGACGCATCGTGGTCTTTGGCAACCCTAGCAGAACATGGAGCGTGGAGAGCCACGTCTGCTTCCTCACACCTGCCTTTCCCTGAAGTGTCGGGTGGTTGTCATCGGGCATGTAGCAAAGGCTTGGGGTCCTTCACCAGGAAAGAGATGGAGGTTAAAGTGCATCTCAGCTCAGGATCGCCTTTAACGTTGGATTGATCATCATTGAGGACTGGCCTTGGTAGCGGAGGATCACGACTTAAACCTTGGAAGTTATACTCTGGACATGTTGACATGTTGGCAGAGCAGAGCGTTTGGGCGCCGAGCGTAGCTCTCAACCAAAGAGTGCCTTGTGTCCGGACGGCTTCATAGGCATGTTGATCGTTCATGACAAGGGCAGAGACCTGCGACGCACTATGCTGTCACTGCAAAGCCAGACTGCATCTGCAGGTCGATTCCGGTGCTGTCGGCGTGAACAGGGAAGTGCCTGAGTGGGTTGAGGCTTGAAACCGGGAACTTTAAATTGCATCAGCGGCATGGAGCATGTTGCGATTCAAGGGTCTCCCGTTTCGACAGGTTGCAAATCTGGTCATGCTTGTGACCTTTTCCATCGAGCTTCTTTTCAAATGTTTCTTGCCTGCAGCTCGTATACTTGAGCAAGCTCCCCCCAACTCAGTTAGTCGGGGCAGCATGAGTGGGAGCGGGGGGATGGTCTAGCTTGAGTTCTAGCTTGCGCATGCCAATGCTCAGGTGCAGTTTACCAGTCGAAGGTCTTTCTGGATGTTTTGCTGCTTGACAGAACAAGCAAACCATTGTC